AAATAAGACTTTATTCTTTTAATTTAAATATTTTATTAATCTGAAATAATTATAAAAACTAACATTTTGCTGARGATTTATTTTGTTTTTAAAGAAACAAAGTGAACATTTCTGAAGAAATCAGAACCAGAACCAGCTCAGACCGGGTCAGGGGCCACAGCCAGAGGACCCAGCTTGAGTCTGGACCGGAACCTGGACCCTGACCCAGTCCCGGGTCTGAGGGACCCATCTAAAGCCGGACTGGCTCAGGCCGCTGTTAGCTCGATGCTAACGCATCCCATTGTTTCCAATGAGGGATGCTAGCAGGCTCCTGAATAAATCAGGTTGTTTTTCTCAAATCTGTTCGGTTCTTCACACCCGGTTCGGCCCGGTCCACTCAACATAACCAGCTTTGGTTCTGCGGGTCAGCTCGGTCCAATCAGCCTGTTCAATGACACGGAACCGACCGAGCAGCTGACGGGTCCGAGTGGTTCGGTCCGGCCCGGTTCGCTCCATCTAACGGACCTGCTAACGGTGTTAGCGGCCCAGGTTTCACAAACACCCGGTAATCAGAACCGGGATCTGCGGTCTGTCAGAACCCCGAGGCCCGCTCAGAACCGGACCTGGCCCGGTTGGTCCCAGCGGTGCTGCTGGTTCCGAACCAAACACGCGGTGGTCCGGCTCGGTCCCGGTCCGAGTGCACGCTTACCTTGTGGGTGTGGAGGTGAGGCGGCTCCGGTTCCGCTCGGTGTGCTGACCCAGTATTATYACCGGGCCGAACCGAACCCTGCGAGCTGGTTTCAACCGCACGGAGCGGACACCGCAGGCTCCAGAACCGAGCCGCGCATCGGTCCAAACCACGACCCGCTCCTGATTAATCCAACATAACCAGAACCCCGCGTGCACGCGCGCCAGGCGCGAGCATTCATAAATAACGGAGCAGAGGATGAAGATGAAGAGGAGGGTCCACCTCAGAACCACCTGCTCTGGTTCCGGTCCGGTTTCCTCCAGGACCCAAACAAACCGGACCCGGACCCAGGACCCAGAATCCAGACCCGCAAACAGAAAAACAACAGAAACCACAAGAAGCTGCACCGCGCAAAGCATGATGGGAGCTGGAGTTTAATACTGTTACTGTACCAACCTGACCTGAACACCTGAGAGCCTCACCTGTCTGCAGGTCAACATCTGAGAGCCTCACCTGTCTGCAGGTCAACACCTGAGAGCCTCACCTGTCTGGATCTGAACACCTGAGAGCCTCACCTGTCTGGATCTGAACACCTGAGAGCCTCACCTGTCTGTAGGTCAACACCTGAGAGCCTCACCTGTCTGCACCTGAACACCTGAGAGCCTCACCTGTCTGCAGGTCAACACCTGAGAGCCTCACCTGTCTGCAGGTCAACATCTGAGAGCCTCACCTGTCTGCAGGTCAACACCTGAGAGCCTCACCTGGAAGCCCTCCACAGGTGAGATAAAGAAAATAAAGGCAGAGATCAGGTGAGTTTATTAGACTTTATTTGAATCTTTATTTATCACAGCTTTGATTTATTATTAAAGCACAAAGTAAAACAAGTCCCAGATCAGGAGCYGTGTCCTCGAGACTCGGGGACACACGAGGACACTCGGGGACAGGCCTGATCCAGACTGCAGAGGACAAAGGTGACTGTGGACCCAAGACCAGAACCAGAACTGCAGTGACAGGATTTTAAGACTAGCAGGTGACCCCCCTCAGTGCAGGACTCAGGTGACCCAGGTGTGTTGGACAAACAGAAGTGCAGAGTGTCCAGGTGTCCCTCTGTCTCCAGGAGGACAGGACCAGGACCAGGACCAGGACCAGGGACAAACATGTCCCTGCAGTCAGTGAAGTCAGTGATCTTAAAAAGATCCAGATGCTCAAAAACCACAAACAGGATCAGATTCTAAAGCCAGGCAGAGTTCCTCCAACGAGCCRGACCAGGTCCAGACCAGGTCCAGACCATCAGTACGGGTTCCAGAAGAGCTGGTCCGAGAACACCGGGACCTGCTGGTCATCAGAACCCAGATCTGAGAACACAAAGAAGAACCTGAAGGTTACAGTCTGAAGACCAAAACCCCTGAGCCAGACCTGCAGGAGGACCAGAACCAGACCTGCAGGAGGACCAGAACCAGACCTGCAGGAGGACTCAGAGGTTTTAGAGGAACCTGACAGAAACAGCTCCTGCAGGCTGAGGTCCAACAGAACCTGGTCCTGTTTGGATCCACACCAGAACTGGATTACAGCTGCTGGTTCCAGAACCTGAGGTACCATCAGAACCTTCTGCCGGGTCCAGTTCAGTTTAAATAAGTGTTTTAATGTGAAGCTGCTCTTCAAAATAAGAGTCTGCTTCTGATGGACTTCCTGTCAGGCTTCAGACAGGAAGTCGTTTTTAGTCTCGTGTCTTAAACAGGTTCTGTTCACCTGCCCAGTCAGAAACACCTGGTGGGGCGTGGTCAAGTGACCTCACCTGGGGGGGCGTGGTCAGTCTCCATCAGGGAGCGGAGCCAGTCGTCCATGTTGGCGTCGGGGGTCACCTGACCTCTGCGGGACAGACTCAGTCCAGGAGGAGAGTGGAGAGTCCGGCAGCTCGCCCCCTGCTGGAGGTCAGAGGTCAGAGGTCACAGGTCAGAGGTCACAGGTCAGACATGTTGGGTTTAAATTTAAACTCCAGCAGAACCTCAGCTCTGAAACATTTAAAGTCCTGCTGGAAACAGGAAGTAAACAAAGTCCTTTCAGTTTAAAACTTCACTTTAAAGAAAATAAATAAAACTTTCAAACATCTTTATAAAAACTCAGGAGATGGACAAAAGAAAACCTGAACCAGGTCAGCTTGTTGTGTGTACTGTTGTGTAGCCCAGTGTGTACTGTTGTGTAGCCCAGTGTGTACTGTTGTGTAGCCCAGTGTGTACTGTTGTGTAGCCCAGTGTGTACTGTTGTGTAGCCCAGTGT